CCAAGACCAAATACATTAACATTGTCATGTACATTACCATGCCAATCCCTCCGAGAGTTGTCATGACAGAACTGTATTTTTGATCAAGTTAATGCAGTGTTGGTAAGCATTTTAAAAAACAAATAGAAAATCGTAGCCGTCCCAAGCTTTTGAATAGTAGTGTACAGTTATGCACATAAGTTTACATACCCCTTGCAGAATATGCAAAATGTTCATAATTTTAACAAAATAAGAGGGATCATGAAAATTGCATTGTCTTTTTTTATTTAGTACTGTCTTGAATAAGCTATTTCACATAACAGATGTTTATATATACCCCACAATACAAAATAATAACTGAATTTGTAAAAATGAAATTTGGAGATCCATCTTTTCAAACTGAGGACAATTGAGGGACTCATACATAACAATTACAAACGGTCAAAATATTTACTGATGCTCAAGAAGGCAACACGATGCATTAAAGGCACAGTATGTAAGTTTTCACCGCTAGAGGGTGCGTATTCAAAACAAACAAATGTGGAATCATGGGAGTTGTCGTCTTCATCCCCACAGCCGATGCAACTTGAAAGCAGCGGAGCTTTTATTATGCCACAGTCAACCGCTTCCGCTCCTTCCGGTCGTGCGTACATGGGGTAAAGCATCGCTGTTTTATCATACTAGATACATTTGAAATTTCTGTTATAATGCTACTCTGGGAAACATGCATGTATTTATGTAGCTCTGAAGTGCAGTACTAAATGAAAAAAATACAATCTTTAATCAAAATAAGAAAATTTACACATCCTCTTATCCACCGGCTCTTAATGCATCGTGTTGCCTTCTTGAACATCATCAGTACATGTTTTCACCTTTTGTAATTGTTTTGTATGAGTCCCTCAGTTGTCCTCAGAGTGAAAAGATAGATCTCAAAATCACACAGTCCCTGCTGGAAAGGGTTCAAATATGCAGAAGATGCTGGAAAACCAAAGAATGTGCAGGAGCTGGAGGATTTTTCAGAAGAACAACAGGCAGTTAAACTGCTCAGGACCAACAAGGGACTCGTGAACAACTATCACAAAACATAAAAACTAGGGGTGCTCCGATCCTATCGGCCGATAATCACGTTGGGATGATTGATCGGCGGTCTCTAAAAAGGCGGA